CACAGCAAAAGAAACCACCAACAAGACAACAATAAAGCCCACTGCATGGGAGAACATATTTGCCAGTGTTATATCTGATATGGGTTTAATCTCCAAATTTTACAGGGAATTTATACAACTTAACAAAAGAAAGATCAACAACTCAATCAAAAAATGGGCAAAGGGCCAAAACCGGTTTGGCTCAGTGGTAGAGCGTTGGTCTGTGGACTGAAAGGTCCTGGGTTCGATTCTGGTCAAGGGCATGTACATTGGTTGCGGGCACATCCCCCATGGGGGGTGTGCAAGAGGCAGCTGGTCGATGTTTCTCTCTCATCGACGATTCTAGCTCTCTATCTCTCTCCCTTCCTCTCTGTAAAAAATCAATAAAATATATATTAAAAAAAAATGGGCAAAGGACCTAAATAGACACTTTTTGAAAGAGGACATTCATAAAGCCAAGAGACATGAAAACCTGCTCAAAGTCACTAATCATCTGAGAGATGCAAATCAAAACAACAATGAGGTACCACCTCACATCTGTCAGAAGGGCTATCATCAACAAATCAACAAATGACAAGTACTGGAGAGTATGTGGAGAAAAAGGAATCCTTATGCACTGCTGATGGGAATGCAGATTGGTGCAGCCATTGTGGAAAACAGTATGGTGTTTCCTCAAAATTTAAAAAATGGAACTGCCATTTGACTCAGTAATTCCACTCCTAGGAATATATCCGAAGAAAACAAAAACACCAATAAGAAAGATATATGCACCCCTATGTTCACAGTATCACAATTTCCAATAGCTAAGATTTGGAAACAGCCTAAATGCCTATCAGCAGATGAGTGGATTAGAAAACTATGGTACATCTACACAATGTAATACTACACTGCTATAAAAAAGAAGGAATTCTTACCATTTACAGCAGCATGGATGGAACCAGAGAGCATTTTGCTAAGTGAAATAAGCCAGGCAGTGAAAAATACCACATGATCTCACTCATTTATGGATAATTAAGAACATTATAACCTGATGAACAAAATGATAGATACAGAGGCAGAGAAGCATTGAACAGACTGTCAAACTACAGCGGGAAGTCTGGGGAGTGCTGGGGAAGGGAGGTAAGAGATCAACTGAAGGACTTGTATGCATGCATATAAGCATAACCCATGGGCACGAGGCACTTGGGGTGGGGTGAGGGCATGTGCAAGGGGGTAGGTCAATGGAGAAGAAAATAGAGACATATGTACTGTTATTTATAATACTTTAAACAATAATTTTTAAAAAAGATGAGTGGATAAAAAAAGCTGTTGTACATTGACACAATGGAATACTATGCAGTCTTTAAAAAGAAGGAAATCTTACCCTTTTGTGACTGCATCAATGGACCTGAAAAGTATTAAGTGAAATAAATCAGTCAGATACCATGTAATTTAACTTATTTTGTTACAGAATTTACCAGGTGACCAAAAAAATACGCAGTGAGTACTCAGAGAGCTAGGATAAACCTATTTATTTTCAGATGTACTATCATAGTGACTCAGGGGGTCAATTCTCCAAATCCTGAATGAGTGAATATGGAGGAAAATTTCCCTTTATACCCTTTGGTTTCTTTGTTTTCTATCTGTTTCCTAACTACCAGGCTTTTGTGGTGGGCTTCCATAGCCCCTCCTGAGTCAGTTAGAATGGGGAAGTTAGATTGTATCTAAATGCCTGGTCTTCGGGGTGCTAGTGACCTCCTCTCTAGCTAAGCTGTTACATTTTTTGTTTATGGCTCCTTTGTAAAATGAGAGTATTCTTAAAAACAGGTTTGCAAGACAGGGCAAGCATCAATGGAATTAATTATCAGCTAGCAAAAGTGTGCATTAGAAGGCAGTTTACTGCACAGATTCAGATTGTTAACCCTCCCACCCCCCAAATGTCTTATATTCCCCATCAATTTGTGAAATCTAAAGAACAAAATAAACTGACCAATAAAATAGAAACATGCTTTTAGATACAGAGAACAGAATTATGGTTATCAAAGGGAAGGGAGGTTGGGGCATAAGTGAACAAGATAAAGGGATTAAAGGGGAAAAAAGTCATGTGCACAGACACTGGTATGGTGATGACCAGAGGAAAGGGGTGGTGGTGGAAGGTGATAGAATCACCTTTCCCTGGAATGTGATTACTAAGCCCTGGAATAGGGATATGTGATATGGCCCCAACCCAGAAAGAACACCTTGTATGGACATATACATTGACTAATCAACCAGCTTTCACCAAGTACCCCAAGCCCTCGTGCCCTCCTCATTTTCCTTAAAAAGAGTTTTAACTGTTGCACAGGCTGCTGCTCTCCCTTTGTGAGACATCTGGCAGGTATTTCCTTTATTAAAGCCTGTGTCACCTGGTTTTTGGCCTCCTACTGATCTTTCATTTTTGGTGTTGAAACCCGGGAAGAATGCACGGGAGCATGGATGATCCTCGAAGCAGTGGGCAGTGGAAGCTTGTCCTGGGCTTACTCTCTGGTTCTGCTCAGTGGTACAATTCTGAGATGATTGGCCTGCCCCGGACCTCCCTCTCAAACCCTGCTGGACCAGGACACATGGGGATCTTGTTGCTTCCTGCCCGCCAGGCTTCAGGGACTCCTCCCTCCCCCCAATTCCCTTGACCTGGAGGGGCATTAGGGCCTCAGAGTTTCCCACCTACTCGGCTTCTCACACTCGAAAGCCCGGGAATACTCTTTTTTACTCCGCCGGAAAATTGTCTCTGAGGTGACTATCTCGGAACCTTTTCTCAGCTCTCGCTCTCGGGTTTGGTGGGAAGACAAGAGGATGCTCTTCACTCCCTCCTCCAACTTCTGATATCCCTTTCATTCAGTATGGGGACCTTTCTATCCAAACCCCCTGGAAACACACCCCTAGGGTTTCTCCTCACCAATCTCTCAACCCTTGGTCTTTCTGGCTACATCAAAGAGTTTCATTTTTTCCTGTAACACTCCCTGGCCACAATATAAACGTGATAATGCCTCTCACTGGCCAAGAACAGCACTTTCAATTTCAGCTTTCTCAGGGACCTAAATAATTTCTGCCACGGGACAGGGAAGGCCTCAGAGATCCCTTACATACAGGCTTTCTGTCCTTTCCCTATCCCCTTGTTTATTTTCTCTTTAGCTTCCATTGCCCTAGGGGCAGTATCAGTGAAGAAGTTCTTTCAGCATATGTCTGAGATTTCGCTGCCTGTGGACGCCTCTAGTATTTTTATGGTTTCCCATCTTATGTGTAAGTCCTGTATCCATTTTGAGTTTATTTTTGTGTATGGTGTAAGTTGGTGATCTAGTTTCATTCTTTTGCATGTATCTGTCCAATTTTCCCAATACCATTTCTTGAAGAGACTGTCTTGACTCCATTGTATATTCATGCCTGCTTTGTCAAATATTAATTGAGCATAGTGATTTGGGTTGATATCTGGGTTCTCTATTCTATTCCATTGATCTATATGTCTGTTCTCGTGCCAATACCAGGCTGTTTTGAGAACAGTGGCTTTGTAATACAGCTTGAAGTCTGGTATTGAGATTCCTCGCACTTTACTCTTCTTTCTCAGGATTGCTGTATCTATTTGGGGCCTTTTATTGTTCCAAATGAACTTTTGGAGAGTTCTTTCTAGGTCAGTGAAATATGCCGTTGGTATTTTAATGGGGAGTGCATTGAACCTATAGATTGCTTTAGGAAGTATGGACATTTTGATGATGTTGGTTCTACCAATCCATGAACATGGTATGTTCTTCCATCTGTTTACATCTTCCTCTATCTCTTTTTTCAGTGCCATGTAGTTTTCCACATATAAGTCCTTTATTTCTTAGTTAAGTTTATTCCCAGGTATCTTAATTTTTTTAGTGCGATGGTAAATGGAATTGCTTTTTTTAGTCTCTGTTTCTGTAAGTTCACCATTGGTGTATAGAAATGCCATACATTTTTTTTCTTTTTTAAAATATATTTTATTGATTTTTTACAGAGTGGAAGGGAGAGATACAGAGAGCTAGAAACATTGATGAGAGAGAAACATCGACCAGCTGCCTCTTGCACACCCCCTACTGGGGATGTGCCCACAACCCAGGTACATGCCCTTGACCAGAATCAAACCTGGGACCTTTCAGTCCGCAGACCGACACTCTACCGCTGAGCCAAACTGGTTTCGGTGAAATGCCATAGATTTCTTGGCGTTAATTTTGTATCTTGCTTCATTGTCAAATTCATTTATTAAGTCAATTCATTTTTTAAGGGAGTCTTTTGGGTTTTTTATGTACAATATCATGTCATCTGCAAATAAGGATAACTTTACTTCTTCTTTTCCAATTTGGATGTCTTTTATTTTCCGCTTCTTGTCTAATTGCAATGGCTATTAGTCTAATTGCAATGGCTATTAGTCTAATTGCTTCTTGTCTAATTGCAATGGCTATATAGTACTTACAGTACTATGTCAAACAGTGGTGGTGAGAGTGGGCATCCCTGTCTTGTTCCTGTTCTTAGAGGGAACGGTTTTAGATTTGCCCATTGAGTATGATGTTGGCTGTGGGTTTATAATATGTAGCTTTATTATGTTGAGGTATAAGCCTTGTATTCCCACCCTTGCTGAGAGTTTTTATCAGGAAAGGGTGTTGGATTTTATCAAATGCTTTTCTGCATCAAATGATATGACTGTATGATTTTTATCATTCAATTTGTTTATGTGATGTATCACGTTTATTGATTTGTGGATATTGCACCATCCTTGCATTCCTGGAATAAATCCTACTTGGTCATGGTGTATGATCTTTCTGATGTTCTGCTGGAGCCGATTTGCTAGAATTTTGTTGAGGATTTTGGCATCTATATTCATTCATGAGGGATATTGGCCTGTAATTCTCTTTCATTGAGTTGTATTTTTTGGTTTTGGTATTAGGGTGATTCTGGCTTCATAGAAGGAGTTTGGGAGTGTTCCTCCCACTTGAATTTTTTTGAATAGTCTGAGAAGGACAGGTTTAAGTTCTTCCTTGAATGTTTGGTAAAACTCTCCTGTGAAGACATCTGGCCCTGGGCTTTTGTTTGCTGGAAGCTTTTTGATGACTATTTCAATTTCTTCCCAAGTCACTGGTCTTTTGAGATTTTTAGACTCTTTCTGATTGAGTTTTGGAAGGTTGTATTTTTCTAGGAATATGTCCATTTCCTCCAGGTTGTTCAGTTTGTTGGAATAGAGTTGTTCATACTATTTTGTAACAATCCTTTGTATTTTGGCGGAGTCTGTTGCTATTTCACCTCTTTTGTTTCTGATTTTGTTTATTTGAGTCCTCTCTCTTTGAATAAAGAGAAAGGCTCATCAATCTTGTTTATCCTTTCAAAGAACTAGCTCTTGGTTTTGTTGATCCTATGTATTGTTTCTTTGGTCTCTATGTCGTTTATCTCCGCTCTGATTTTTATTATTTACTTCCTTCTGCTTACACTGGGCTTTTCTTGTTGCTCTGTTTCTAACTCTTTGAGTTGTAGAGTTAGATAATTTGTTACCATTTTTTTCCTGGGTTTGGGTTTTTTTTTGTTTGTTTGTTTGTTTTTTGCAATAGGCTTGTAGGGATATGAACTCTCTCAAAACTGCTTTTGCTGTGTCCCATAGATTTTAGATTGTTGTGTTTCATTTTCATTTGTTTCCAGAATGTTTTTAATTTCTTCCTTGATTTCTCTAGTAGCCCAGTCCTTGTTTAATAGCATGCTATTTAGTCTCCATGTGTTTGATTCCTTTGGATTATTTTTATTGTACTTAATTTCCAGTTTTATGCCACTATGATTTGAGAAGATGCTTGATATGATTTCTATCTTCTTGAATTTGAAGAGACTTTGCCCATGTCCCAACATGTGGTCTATCTTTGAAAATGACCCATGTGCACTTGAGAAGAATGTATATTCTGTGGCTTTGGGGTGGAATGTTCTGAAGATGTCGATTAATTCTATCTGGTCTAGTGAGTCATTTAGGATTGATAGTTCTTTGCTGATTTTTTGTTTAGATGATTTATCCAAAGGTGACAGTGGTGTATTAAAATCTCCTACTATGATTTTATTGCTATTAATCTCTCCCTTAATGTCCTCAGGCAGTTTTTTTTTAAAAATGTATTTGGGTGCATATATGTTTACCAGGGTTATTTCTTCTTATTGGGTTGCTCCCTTTAGTATTATGAAGTGGCCTTCATTATCTTTTGTTATGTTCTTCACTTTGAGATTTAGTTTGTCAGATATAAGTATTGCTACCCCAGCTTTTTTTCATTTCCATTCGCCTGGAATACTTTTTTCCATCCCTTCATCCTCAGTCTGTGTGCATCTTTTTTTCTGAAGTCGGTTTCTTGTAGACAGCAGATATATGGGTCTTGTTTTCTTATCCAATCTGTTACCCTATGTCTTTTGATTGGAGCATCTAATCCAGTTACATTTAAAGTTATTATTGATAGGTACTTATTTGACACCATTTTTATTCTATACACCTGTGTTTCTTCTTTGCTTTCTATTTCTTTATTTTTATAGTAGACCCTTTAGCATTACTTGCATTGCTGGTTTGGTGGTGATAAATTCCCTTAGTCTGTTTTTGTCTGTGAAGCTCCTGATTTCACCTTCAATTTTGATTGATAGCCTTGCTGGGTACAGTATTCTTGGATTCAGACCCTTCCTTTACATGAGTTTGTATATTTCATCCTTCTGGCCTGATGAGTTTCTGTGGAGAAATCAGTTGCTAGTCTGATGGGGGTTCCTTTATATGTAACTTTCTGTCTCTCTCTGGCTGCTTTTAAGATTCTTATTTTGTCATTGCTATTTGCCAGTTTATAATATGCTTTGGTGTCGGTCTCCTGAGGTTCATTTTGCTTGGGACTCTGCGAGAATCTTGGATTTGTGTGGGGTTTTTTCTTCTCTATCTCGGGAAATTTCCCGTCATTATTTCTTGAAATATGTTTTCCATGTCTTTCTCAGTTTCCTTTCCTTCTGGATCCCCCATTGTTCTAATATTGTTTTGTTTTGTATTGTCCCAAAGTTCCCTTAGGCTCTCCTCCTGCTTTTTAATTTTTTCCCCCCTGAAGCTGCTCTAATTGAATATTTTTCCCCATCTTGTCTTCTAGCTCACTGATGCAGTCCTCTGCTTCTTCTAGTCTTCTCTTGATGCTTTCTATTTAGTTCTTTACAGTAGCGATGTCATTTTTCATTTCTTCTTGGTTCTTCTTCATTTCCTCTTGGTTCTTACTCATATTGTCAAATTTGTTTTCCATTCTTTGTAGCCATCTTATGATCATTACTCTGAATTCTTGCTCTTGTAGGTTGCTTGCCTCTAACTCATTTATTTCCTTTTCTGGTGATGCCTGCTTTTCTTTCATACGGGGGCTGTTTCTTTGTCTCTTCATGATCTCTCTTTTTAGGATGTCTGGTTATGTAGTTCTTTCTCTCCTTTTCCCCATCCGGTGGGGCACTCCTTTGAGTCCAAGTGTTCGCACTGCTTGGGATCAGCATTCTGGGGGTCACAGCTATTTGGTGGTTGCTGCGGCTGTGGATATTCAGGCCTCTGACATGATCCAATTTTCCCTCCAAGATGGCGAGATTTCACCGTCCAAGCCTGTAGGTAGGGACCTAGCCCTGCCGTGGGTGCCTCCCTGTCAGGGGCACCCTGATCAGCAGCCCCACAGTTTCTTCTGGTGTTCAGCTGTCTCTTGGCTTGCTAATAAATATTCACAGCACGATCCTCAGCTGCTCTCTCTTTCTGCTTTGGGACAAGGCTCATAATCCTCTTATCTATTCTTACGCCATTTTTCTCTTTGCTGGTTTTTGTTCAATACCCCACTATCACCATTGGACAAATCCTCTAAAGTCTCCTACTATGATTGCATTGCTGTTAATCTCTCCTTTGAGTATCTTCCAGGAGTTTTATTATGTATTTGGGTGCTCCTGATTGGATGTGTGTGTTTACCAGAGTTATTTCTTCTTGTTGTATTGCTCCCTTTAGTATTATGAAGTGAAATTCATTATCTCTTATTATGTCCTTTATTTTTAGATCTAATATTTCATATATAATTGCTACCCAGCTTTTTTTTTTCATTTCCATTTGCCTTGAAAACCTTTTTCCATCCCTTCACCCACAGTTTGTGTGCATCTTTTTTTTTTTTTTTTTTTTTTTTTTCTGAGCTGGATTTCTTGTAGACAGCAGATTGATAGGTCTTGTTTTCTTATCCAGTGTTTTACCCTGTGTCTTTTGATTGGAGCATCTAATCCAGTTACATTTAAAGCTATTATTGATAGGTACTTCTTTGTCACCATTTTTATCTTTACCCCTTTAATCCTTCTTTGCTTCCAATTTCACTTTTTTGCAGATATCCTTTAGCATTCTTTAATTGCTGGTTTGGTGGTAATAAACTCCCTTAACCCTTTTTTATCTGTGAAGCTCCTGATTTCACCTTCAATTTTGATTGATAGCCTTGCTGGTACAGTATTCTTGGATTCAGACCCTTCCTTTGCATGACTTTGTATATTTCATTTCATCCCCTTCTGGGCTGATGAGTTTCTGTTGAGAAATCAGTTGTTGATGGGGGTTCCTTTATATGTAACTTTCTGTCTCTCTCTGGCCACTTTTAAGATTCTTACTTTGTGTTTGGTGTTTGCCAATTTAATTATAATATCCCTTGTCATCAGTCTTTTGTGGTTCATTTTGCTTGGGACTCTGTGACCTTCTTGTATTTGTGTGGGTTTTTCCTTCCCTATATCAGGGAAGTTTTCTGTCATTATTTCTTCAAACAGGTTTTCTATTCCTTGCTCAGTTTCCTTTCCTTCTAGAATGCCTATTATGTGAATGTTGTTTTGATTTGTGTTGTCCCAAAGTTCCCTTAGGCTCTCTTCTGGCTTCTTATTTATTTATTTATTTTCTAGAAGATTCTCTATTTGGGTATTTTTTTCCATTTGTATTCTAGCTCATTGATTCGTTCCCCTGCTTTTACTAGTCTATTCTTGAATTGAGTTCTTACAGCAGTGATGTCATTTGTAATTATGTAAGCTGCATTTGTTGTAGTAAATTGCTTTTGCTACATTCCAGAACTTTTTATATGTCCTATTCTCTTCTCATGTGTCTACATATTTTGATCTGATCTTTCACTTTTTCTTTTACCCAGTTGCTTTTCAGTAGCATGCTATTTAATCTCCATATATTTGTGGCAGCATTTTTTCTTTCCTTTTTGCAGTTGATTTCTAATTTTAAAGCATTGTAGTTGGAGAATATGCTTTGTGATTTCAATACTCTTAAATTCTTTTAAAAATATATTTTATTGATTTTGTACAGAGAGGAAAGGAGAGAGACAGAAAGTTAGAAACATCGATGAGAGAGAGTCATCGATCAGCTGCCCACAGGGGATATGCCCGCAACCAAGGTACATGCCCTTGACCAGAATCGAACCCGGGACCTTTCAGTCCCCAAGCCGACGCTCTATCCATTGAGCCAAACCGGTTTCAGCTTAATACTCTTAAATTTTTTGAAACTAGTTTCCAGTTCCAACATGTGGTCTATTTTTGAAAGTGTTCCATGTGTACTAAAGAAGAATGTATAATCTGGTATTCTGGGATGAAAGGCTCTGTAGTTGTCAATTATGTTCATTTGGTCTAAGGTGTCATTTAAGGCTGATATATTTTTAATTGATTTTTTTTGTTTGGATGATATATACCCATAACTGTCAATGGGTATTTACATCCCCATGTATGATTGTGTTTTAGTCAGTTTCTCTCTTTAGTTCTATTATAGTTGCTTTTATATGTTGGTGCCTCCTGATTGGTTGCATATATATTGAGAACTGTCTTATTTAATGTTCATTTTATCATAAAATGTCCATCTTTTTATATTGTTACCTTTGTATTCTCAAAATCTATTTTCTCTAATATAAATATGGCTATAGCTGCTTTTTTGTGGATGCTTTTTCTTGGAGAAGCTTTTTTTTTGGAGAAGCTTTTTTTCACCCTTCACTTTATGTCTATACTAGAGGCCCAGTGCAGGAATTCGTGCATGGGAGGGATCTGGCCAGCCCACCCCAATCGGGATCGATTGGGCTGGGCCAGCCAGTGGGAGGGTTGCAGGTTGTTGGTGGGCTGGCCCTGCCACTGATAGAGGTGGGAGCGATGGGGGGTGAGGCCATCTGGGGGGACAAGCCGCAGGCAGTTAGCCAGCCCCTGGTCAAACTCCTGGTTGAGAGGATAATTTGCATTTTAGCCTTTTATTATATAGGATTTTTCTTTGTAGCTTATATGTATCTCCTGAAGTCAGTATATGGTTGGGTTTTGATTTTTTGACCCAGTCTGTTACTCTGTTAATTGTTATTGCTGAATTTAGAATTTTTACATTTAGGGTGGTTATTATTGTATGAGGATTCTCTATAGACATTTTATCTTTTGTTTTTTGGTAACTCTGTCCCTCTGTTGTTTTTTCCTCTTATATTTTTGTCTGACATTTAAGATTGGTGATATTCTATAATTTTTCTATCTGTTTTCTTTTTTAGTATTTGCCTCAGTGTGTGTGTGTATGTGTGTGTGTGTTTACCATCAAATTTAAGTAAAAGCAAGTTTCATATAAATAACAGATCTTTTTCTTCTGAATGCCTCTAATCTCCACATTCTTTTGCAAATTCAAACCTTTACCTTCTCCCCTTTGTTTTTCTTGTCACAAATTATCCAAATTATGCTGTGAGTTCACTTAAAAAAAAAAGATATTTTATTGATTTTTTACAGAGAGGAAGAGAGAGGGACAGAGAGCTAGAAACATCAATGAGAGAGCATCATCGATCAGCTGCCTCCCGCACACTCCCCACCGGGGATGTGCCGGCAACCAAGGTACATGCCCTTGACCGGAATCGGGCCTGGGACCCTTCAGTCCGCAGGCCGACACTCTATCCACTGAGCCAAACCGGTTTCATCTGTGAGTTCACTTTTGAAGTTAAGTAGCTATGGTCTTCTTTTTTGATGTTACCTTTGTAAACTTTTATGTGATATTTAAGTTTGTAGAAATTTGTTCTTAAAAATTGGGGGAGGGGGGGTTATAATACCCTGCTTCTATCTACTTATTGGTTAGTTTATTCATAGTTTTGTGCCCTTCTGTTTTATGTTTGAGTAGAGTAACTCATTGAGTATTTCCTGCAATGGAGGTCTTCTGGTGGTAAATTCCCTTAGCTTTAATATATCTGGAAAAGTATATATTTTTTTCATATTTAAATGATAACTTTGCTAGACATATTATTCTTAGCTGGTAATTCCTTTCTTTCAGTAGTTTGAATGTTTGATTCCTCTGCCTCTTGGCTTGTAGGGTTTCTGATGAGAAATCCAATATAATATAATGGTATTTCCTTTATGGTTTACTGTTTTTTTCTACTCTGGCTGTCTTGAGAATTCTTTTTCTGTGTTTTTGACAGCTTTAACATACTGTACCTTGGCGAATACCTTTTTCTTAATATATATATTTATTGATTTCAGAGAGGAAGAGGGAGTGAGAGAACATTTAGATGAGAGAATACCTTTGATTAACTGTCTCATGCACACCCTACTGGGGATTGAACCTGCAACCTGGCCATGTGCCCTGACTGAAAATCAAACCAGGACCTCCTCATTCATAGGTTGATGTTCAGCCACTGAGCTACATCAGTCAGGCAGAGAGGATCTTTTTTTTTGATTGAGATAATGAGGTGTTTTTTTTTTTTAGGTCTTGGATTTGAGGATATGAAGTTTGGGAAGTTGTCATCAATTTATTTGAGTAGGCCCTCTGTACCTTTCTCCCCACCTTTTTCTGCTGCTATGCCTATTATTCTTACATTGCTTTTTCTGATGGAGTCAGATCTTGTAATGTTCTTTTATTTTTCTCTCTCAAGTCTCTCTCTTCTTTCCTCTGTGTGATTTCTGGATTTCTATCTTTGATATCTCTTTCTGGTCATCTTTGATTCTTTAGCTCGCTAGTTCATTATTTATCTCTTTTACTGAGTTTGTCATCTTCAGAATTTCTATTTGGTTGTTTTTAAAAGTTTCATTCTTTTTGGCAAAGGACTTATTTTCATAGATTTTATTTCTGAGTTCATTAAACTGCCTATCTGTGTTTTCTTGAATCTCATTGAATATTTTCAGAACTGCAATCTTGAATTCTCTGTCATTTAAATGACAAATTTCCATTTCTTGAAGTTTATTTTATGGAGATTTTTAATTTTCTTCCTGAGCTGCCTCATTATTTTGATTATTCATGGTATTTATGGATTCTTTTTATGTCTAGATTCTGTGTATGAATGACACTTCTGATAAGAAATCTTTTTATTGTTTTCTATGAGATGGTGCTGAAGCACAATTTTTTATTTTTCTTGCACTGTTGGACATTTTAGGTCTCTGTAGGGGTAGTGAAAGATGTCTTCCATTCCCCGAGAAAGTTGACATCTCCTCTGTGATCAGGTCACCCTGGTCTCAGTGCACCAACCTTCCAGGAATGTGGTTAGAGGTTGGGTTTCAAATCTGTGAAAATCTAGTGCTGTCAGTGCATCCATGATGGGTGGTGGTAGAGTTAGTTGGTAAGGGTGGCCAGTGCCTTTGCTGTTTTGTTCATTTAGTAATGGTAACTAGCACATCTCAGTGGCTTCTTTTGTGTCTCCACCTAACCCTGGGATTAGTCACAGTGTGCCTGAAACTCATGGAAAAAAATATTTTTGTAGTTTATTGTCTCAGGTTTGTAGATAATCATTCTGGGATTTGCTACTAGCTCAGGGTAGGTGAAGGGTGGTGAGCTCTGGGAAGATGAGGAGAGGTAAGCCTGGCTTTGTGGCTTTGTTTTTCTCTCTGGAATGGTGATTGTCAGACAACCATGGCTGCACCTATTGTCCAGGTTAATCAGTTCAGCTGTAGTGTGTACTGACTGCTCCTGCAAGAATGCTCACTGTATTTCTCTTCTTTCCCTGACTGAAGAGAGTGCCAGTGGCAATCTGATTACTTCCATCTTTGTGCCAAGATGCACAGTTAGCTTTAGGCTCTGAGCTTAGGGTTGTGTCCCTGGCACCATCTTAATTTTTTTCCTTTCCCACCTTCTTGGTTTGTTCCCACTTGCACACCTTCAAATGTTTCCATGCACAGTCTCTCAGACAGGTTTGTGTGTTAAGCAGGGAATCCTTTGTTGAATTGTAGTTGAACAAACAATTTTCTTATTTTTAAAATTAATTTTGTAAATTACAGTGATCATTTTTTCAATGGCAAACTAACTCTGTAAGCCTAGTTGGGAGGGACTCACTTGGATACTTTTTTCTTCCAGAGAGTTAATACATTAACTTATAATAAGGTATTTATTAGACTAGTTTCCTGCTGCACAGATTTGTGCATATTGAAAGGAAATGAATTAGAATATTTTAATATCACTATTTGCCATTTCTCTATAATACAAGTGTTAACTAAGTTCACGATTGACAATGACAGATTGAAACACATGCATGCAATTGGCACCAGCTTTATATGTATTGTGCATGTGTAAGTCAACTTAGCCTTTTATATACACTGAGTGACCAGATTATTATGATCTTTGAATGCATAATAATCTGGCCACTCAGTGTATATCCTATATAGTAAAAGGCTAATATGCAAATTGTCCAAATTGTCCCCTTGACCAGGAGTTCGACCAACAGGCAGACTGGCCAACTGCCCATGTCCCCTCCCCCTGGCCAGGCTGGCTGGATCCCACCCATGCACAAATTCATGCATCAGGCCTCTAACATACTCCCACTGAGACCCAGATTTCATTCTTGTCTGTTTTTTCTCAATCCTTCACAGCCCCCACTCATGTTCACACTTGGCCATGCCGCATAACCTGTTTAGAAGTTATGAAAGCTGATATGAGGCCCAATGTGGTATAAAACCATGAAAGGTCTTGAGATATTCTTTTTTTTTTTTTTTTTTTTTTTAAACAATTAACCCTTAATTTGTATTTAGAACATTATATGGGAAAAGGACACTGTGTTTGGGAACTTTCAGTGGTCCACTAATGATGCAGTAATTTCATTGGGAAAAAAAATCCCTCCAAACACAAAAGCATAAGATAAATCAGATGTGTGTCTTGGTCAAATGTTTGTAGACAGCTGCCCTGAAAACAAAATGATAAACATAAATACACAATTTGTTTACTAAGCATAAAATATTGCACAAGAGCAGTTTTGTCTGAAGAAATTTAAATTTTCCATAGTTCAGAACTTCAAAATGGTTCCCACATATAGATATAATTACATTTTCTACACAAGAAACATTAAGATTCAGTAATACTGCTAGAACCTTATTTTTCACATTAACCATATTCCAATCTACTTTATGGCAAAAGTTAGTCAGTGGTGATGGTTTGGCAAAGATCAAAAGGCAGATAAGATTGAAAAAAAATATATATATGTACATATGAAACAGATATGTCCCCCAAAACCCTTAATCATATAACTGATCCCTTAAAAAAATCCACAGTCTAGTTCACAGTGACGGTCAGACAGTGGTTGAGTATGATTCTCTCTTTCCTGGGAGCCGTTCCTTCTGATCCACTTGACTGCCCTCTCTGGTCTCCATCACACTGTCTTCTGTTTCACTTTCACTGCCATCTGCCACAGTGGGGGCTTCAGACCTCTCGCCAGATTTTCTGTGCAAAGGAAAACCAATGCCACTCTCCCGTAAGGAATTGTCTATGAGATCTTCATCAGAGGAATGGGATGATTCGTCATCTCCTATTAAGTGGTTGACGATGTGGATTCCATCAAAAGGGGGTTGGCCCAAGAAGCCCCTCTGGCCTTTTAGGCACCTGAGCTCATGATTCAGCTCTGCTATCTGATCTTTCAGTTCCCTAATATACTGGTTAGAATCAGACTTGTTAAGCTGTCCTTGAAGCTTTCCTTCTTCTTTCTGGATTTCAAGCTCAGCGATGTGCTGCTGCAGTTCAGCCACAGCAGCTATGCTGTCTGCTTCCCGCAGTCTCACGGCCATCACTTCTTCCTTGTTCTTGCATTCAATCTCTGCTTGTTTGCATTTTGCTTCACTTAACTGAGTAAGCAGTCCTTTGTTCTGCGCAGAAAGATACTGCACCTTCTCCTGAAGACTGGTCACCTCTTGTTCTGCTCTTCGAAGATGGTTACTATTGATCTGGTTCTGTGTTTCCATTTCCATCATCCTTTGTTTTATTTCTCTTATTTCTGCCTGTGTTTCTGCTTCTCTACGTCGAATGATCATCAATTCATCTTGTAATTCATTCACAGCATTTTTCTTAGGTGGGTCTTTCCATCTCCCAGAAGTACGAGCTAAGTGGCGCTGCCAGTGCTCCTCTAAATCTCTGACTTGTTGTCTAAGTTCTTTCAAACCCATAATAGCTTCTGCTTCTCTCAGTTTCACAGCAATGAGTTCTTCCTGAAGCCTTGCAATGTTATTCTCATCAGGAAAGGAGTTGTTTCTCTTCTCCATATCCAGGACTTTATCCTGCATCTCCTTTAGTGCACGGTGAGCCTCAGCCTCCCTCAGACGGGCCTGAACCAATTCCTTCTCTAGCTGTAGCACAAAGTCTTCATTGTAGCTGGAACTGCATTTATGTTTTTCTAATGTTTCAATGCGTTGTTTTAAAAGCCTATTTTCTGTACGTAACCTTTTAATTTCAACTTGCTCTTCCATTTCTTTAGTTTTTATTGTAGTGTATTCCTTTTCAAGCTTTTTCATTTTTTTTGAGTTATATTTGACTTGGTAAGCTGCCTGGATTAATTTGTCTGGACCTCCATCAAACTGATGTGGAATGACCTTCTGAAAGTGTTGTAACATCCCTTCCATGTCGAGTTGCATCAATTCTGCCTGATTCATTTGAAGAAGTGCTAATCCTACTCGAAACACTATCTCTAAACCCTCAGACATAAAGATATCAAATATCCTTGTTGCAATTGGTAGCGGAAAAGTCGTAAGAAAGATAGTCAGAAACCAGGATGATGCATACATTGAGGTATGAAAACTCTGAGACTGAAAATGTACAAAGAGCTCTGGAAGATGTTCCTGTATCATGCATTCAAACTGGTACATACAAAGGCCCAATTCTGCCATACTTGGTTTAAAAAGTTCACGAAGTCTATAATCTTGCATTCATTTAACAAATACACAGAAGGCTTCTTCTTCTGGCATCTGCATAAGCAGCAATCCAACTATAAAAGCACTTCCTTGACAGTAACCAACCTCACGATCCACTAGAGAATATGCCTTCATTATGTTAAATAAAACCTCCTGTCCAAAGCTATCTTTTTCCTTAAAAAAATTGTGTTCGGGATAAGTTCTAGCAATGTCCCTCCGGATCAATTTTTCACAAGGTGAAGTCATTTTCAGGAGTTCCGCATACTGATCCTTGATTGGCATATTTTGTGCACTGCATAAAAGTTGCCAAACTATTGCTCTAAAATGGTGCGGTATCCCTTTACGAACAAGTTCCTTAATGTGTTTTTCCTTCTTTTTGTGCACATCTTCCCATTCATTAACAAGTCTTCCCCAAAGTATCCAAGAATCTTCTTTAAGGTGGCTAAGGTTGCTGGAGGCTGATGAACTTGACACAAGGGAGGAGCCACTGTTTCTTCTTGACCCATTTACAGATTTCAAAGACTTACTATCCGTCTCTAACAATCTATTTTGTTCCTCAAGTTTAGCCAGGAGTTCTAAGTCATCTGGACTCAGCTGTGACGGGGAAGATGGTGAAAGGGCTGGCGTTGATAATGTGGTAGATGAGGATGTAGTGTGTAATGAAGTAGATGGACTTGCCACCTGACTGGCCATCTGATTGACTGTGTATGATACGGTGTTCTTCACCCATGAGAGAGTAGAACTCAGCTTTTCTGCAACCTTGTCTGTCGCCACCGACAATTTCTCTTGATCTTGGTGCAGCACTGGGATTTCTTTCTTTTCAGCAAAGAAAGGAGCTTATTCTTCTACCCCTGTATTCCCCCAGAGAAAAGCCATCTTGGAAACGTTGGGTGGACTCGGCGGTAAACATTAACTTCTCATCCAGCCGGCAGCCGCGCCGCCGCCTTCCCCGCGCCTCGGCCCTGCTCCGCGCTCTGCAGGCCGCCCTCCTGCCTGGCCTGGGGCGCCGGCGCGCTCCCGAGCTCAGGGGCGCCTCCGGCCGCCACGCGCCCCTCCCGCCGCCGCCGCCGCCTCCGCGACGCGACCCCGAGCCGCCAGCCCGCCTGGCTGCCTGGCTGCCTGGCTGCCTGGCTGCCCCGCTGCCTGCGGGCGCGTGGTCTGCTCCGGTCCGGCCCGGCCCGGCCGCGTCTGGAACGCCCAGGGCGCAGGCGCGGCGGGGCCTTAAAGGGCCCGGCCGCCTACCCCGCAGAAAGGGTCCGAGCCGGGCTCTTGAGATATTCTTGATGACAAAAGACAACTATCTATTTTAAGAGTTTTACTTGAGCTCTTAATTATAATATTCATAATGCCATAATTAAGTGATATTTATAATGCATATTATTATGCATTCAGAAATCATATTAGTCTGACCACTCAGTGTGTATAGATAAACTTGTTTAATAAGACTTGCTTTCTGATTTAACTAAACTTTTTCCAGCCCAGTGAAGCACCTCAACTTTTCTTTCAGGTAATAATCTGCAACACAGCAGTAAACATTACTATGAAGCAGATTATTATTGTAGATTAGGCAGGAAGTACAAAAGGTAAAATAATTAACTGTAGCAGTGTTTGACTATATTCTGCTCAGTGAGAAAACCTGAAGTCATTTTCAAGTTTCACCATTTTTTCTTTTGAATCAGGTTAAATTTCTAAACTTTCTAAATCTCTGTGTCTTGCTAATGAAAAGAATAATAAATGCATAATAATCTGGCCACTCAAATTATTATGAAAAGAAAATAGGATTCTACTGAGTCTCCTATCTACCTACTCCATAATTCTATAAGGATCAAATGTTTACTACTTCATACATCTATAAGGATCAAACGAGGCACAGGGAAATGCTTCCATACATTATTTTGAACTGTAAAATGTTTGCACCTGGCTATAAAGCAAATTGGATTCCTGGGCTGAAGAAACTCTAAAGAGGCTAGTTGCTAGGGAGAGGAAGCTGGGCTTTGCTATGTGACATCATTACCCAGAACCCACAGCAACTATTACTGGGCTGGGCTGGGCTGTGGGCTGCATTTTTCACCATGGAGTCTTGGCAGCATTGGCTGTGATTTGGTGGGGTGTCACTCCAGGGTGGTGGCGGGGCTTGTGTCCCACTTGGGGAAAGCGGAGTTTTAGTTTGTCAGGGCCAGGTCTGTGGTGCTGTTTATTTTTAAATGGCCAGTGTGCATCGTAGCAGCTCCTGCACTGAGCATGTGCCCCATAGTGGTCAGTGGGCATCATTGCTACCAGTCAGAGGAAAGGCTGGACACTTAGCCTTTTATATATATAGATCAATACCCAGAACGTTCTTGAAAGCAGGGTTTAGACTGATTTCTGGCACTAGAAGCTAAGGTGGAGTCAAGATATAAGTGCCTTGCAGGTCTGTTTTATTTAACAGAGTTCTCACAGCACCTATTGTAAGTGCTCACTGAGTGCTATTTTTCATAAGATGCGCAAGACTATGAAAGTGAATTTTGTTCAAAGCCAAAGCTGTTCTATTAAAGTAAACTTTGTGTCTATAATTTTTTGAAAAATTGAACATTGTCTGATAGTCCTTTATTCCTCACACCACACACACTCCATACTTTTTTTGTCCCTTAACTTATTAAATGATTTCATATGTATAAGGGTCACTGAATTACCATAATGTGCATTAAAAATAGTTTGTTTTTAACATTTGTTCTAATATCCCTAATGAGTTCTGGTTAATAGAATGTTAAAAAAAAAATCTGGTTTTAAAACTTGTCCAGTAAGTTTCTTGTAATAATTATTCAGAGTCTCTTCTATATTCCTGTCCACTCTTAAGGTGGTGTCAAATATATGGAAGATCTTTATGGCTTTGTGTGGAAGCGGGTATACCCTACAATTTTCCATGGATGCAGGCTAGCTGCTATCCACTGAATATGGTTTAGCTGGCTTCTTTTTCTGGACATTCGGTAGCTGGTGAATTTGTGGTATGTTTCTCAACTCAGTTATGGTCCAAGACCTTCCTTTCAACTTGCCATCTTTGGATATTGCTGTCTCCATAGATTTTTCTGAGTCTCCGTCACATACTCCAAAGAGTTCCTGTCTTCCTCCTACCACATAGAACATGTGGTCATTTTGTTTTTTTCAAAGGCCCTATAACTCCCTGTTCAGGATGTTTGCTACATGGGAACTAAAGGCTACACAAAATCCTTCTTCCGATGCACTAGGGAGTTCTGAGTACACAGTTAATTGCATATCTCCCTAACTCCAGGGCCTCTCTTCTCTATCCCAGGTCTCCAGGGGAAAGAAGAGAGTGTTCCCCTGCCATCTTACTCTCTGCCTTTCCCCCTCAATAAAGCTAAGTTGAAGAAAGGGTATGAGGATTAAGGAAACAGACATTAAAGAGCATTTCATTACTAGTATTCTGGTTACACATGTGTGGAGAGCGGAGAGTGGCTACAGTGTTTGGATAGGTTCAAACCTCGAGCTAATGAGAGGGCACAGTCTTCTCACGGCCACATAAAAGTCCAAGCTTGGGGGGCAGAGCCCTTCCAGCACAATTATAGCCAACAACTATGGTTGTAAGTTTGAACCTAGGGTCTGAACCATGGCCCCACGTGCCTAAGTGATATGGGCTGTAAGTAAACAAGGCTTGATCAGGTGCATGTAATTGAGTAGGATGGAAACCCATGAGAATGTTGTAAACATCTTGACCATGTTCTTACTTTGCCTCTTGACATCTGGCTATAAAAGAAAGACATGGTTGGCCAAGAGGGACTAGAGTTGGTTCATAAGCTACTTCAGGGTCTACAGCTGGGACTAAGGTCTATATATCTACTATCCAATATATGGAAACTCGAGACTCCTCCAGACACCTTTGATATATGGTGCTGGATTCCTAAGCTTCCACAAAGGCACTTTTATGCATGGCTGGGTGGAAAATTGTAATTATGGAAGAGGGGGAAGCAAATGACGGATGTCTTATTCAACCACAATTGCCTTTGGTTTCTTAAACCTGTTTATTTCAAAGTCTTGTTCCTCAACAGAAAAGAGTTCCCCCAAAAAATTATTTATTTAGTCCCACAGCCTACTCTGAAACCTTAGTGTCTGTGAATGCTTATGTTCATAAGATACTTTTAGGATCTAGAAATAAATTTTTAGGAACAGTGATTATGAGTTAGCTCCTGGTGATTTCTTTTTATCTCACCCATCTCTCATAGAAATTCCTGAAGGAGCAGAAAATATGGAAAAATTTCTTTGTTCTAGTGCTGTTGAAGTTTTTATCTGTTTATAGTCCTTTGGGCACTTCAGTTTTGACTAGGAAAAATACATTATATTTTTAATATTTAAATCACTTTGCTTTTAAGAAATTTGTCAATCAGCATCTCATTTCTGAAACTTATTCTAAAGCTTTCCTGATAACGCCTTTTATCTTAATTGTGCTTATAATTCTAGTTCAGAACATTAGATAAACTTTATTAGTGCATTTTTTCTTTGGTGGTATTTGTATGATTCTGTCTGTAGCCCTCTTTTTTAAAAAAATGAATCTTTATTGTTCAGATTATTACAATTGTTTCTCCTCCCCCCAAAAAGCTCCCCCCACATGCTCCCCATTCCATCCTCTGTCCTTATCCCACCCCCCACTGACCTCATCCATAGGTGTATGATTTTTGTCCAGTCTCTTCCCCTACCCTCCACACAGACACCCCTTCCCCCCTGAGAATTATCAACCATCTCCCATTCTATGCCCCTGATTCTATTATATTCACCAGTTTATTCTGTTCCTCAGATTTTTAATTCACTTAACTTTTAGATTCACTTGTTGATAGATATGTATTTGTTGTTCATAATTGTTATCTTTACTTTTTTCTTCTTTTTCCTCTTTTTAAAGAACACCTTTTAGCATTTCATAAAATACTGGTTTGGTGGTGATATACTCCTTCAGCTTTTTCTGATCTGTGAAGCTTTTTATCTGCCCTTCAATTTGAATGATAATTTTGATGGGTAGAGCAATCTTGGTTGTAGGTTCTTACTATTCATCACTTGGAATATTTCTTGCCACTCCCTTCTGGCCTGCATAGTTTCTGTTGAGAAATCAGCTGATAATCGTATGGGTGCTCCCTTATAGGAAACTGTTTTTAATCTTGCTGCCCAGGGCGCCGCGCTGGACTGCTTCGAGGTGACGCTCAAATGCGAGGAGGCGGAGGACGAGGACGAGGCCGTGGTGGTGGCCGTGATCCCGCGGCCCGAGCCGATGCTGCGAGTGGCTCAGCAGGAGAAGACCCCGCCGCCCAGGCCCTGCCTGCTGGATGCGGGCGGCGGTGGCTGTGAGGAGCCCAGGCTGCAGATGACGTGGGAGCAGGAGTTCCTGGTGGGGAGCAGCCCGGAAGGCAGCGGGCGGGCGCTGTGCATGGTGTGCGGGGCTGAGATCCCGTTCCCCTCGGCGGACACGGCGCCCGCGCACATCCTGGAGCAGCACCCTCACACACTGGACCTGAGCCCTTCGGAGAAGAGCAACATCCTGGAGGCCTGGAGCGAGGGCGTGGCCCTTTTGCAAGACGTCAGCACTGAGCAGCCATCCCACCCGACTCAGACTTGGCCCAGGATGTCAGTGCAGACCCGGACCCTGCCCCGGACCCTGCCGGATTCTTTCTTTGCCTTTTGTCCCTGGCATTTTAATTAAGATGTGTCTTGGTGTGGTCCTCTTTGGATTCCTTTTGTTTGGGGTTCTGAGCACTTCCTGGACTTGTAAGTCTATTTCTTTCATCAGGTGGGGGAAATTTTCTGTCATTATTTCTTCAAATAGGTTTTCAGTGTTTTTCTCTCTCTCCTTTTGGCACCCCCATAATTCTGATGTTGGTACGCTTGAAGTTGTCCCTAAGGTTTCTTACACTATCTTCAACTTTCTGGATTCTCTTCTCTTCTTGCTTTTCCAGAAGAGTGTCCTTTGTCTCTTTGTATTCCAAATCTTTGATTCTCTCGTTCCTCTAGTCTGCTGTTGGATTTCTGCATAATATATATTATTTTATTTTATTTTTTATTTTTATTTTTTATTTTTATTTTTATTTTTTGGCACTTGACAAACATTTATTGAGCACCTACTATGTGCCAGGCCCTATGCAGGGCTCTAAGGAAACAAAGTCACTGCAAACTAGCCCCTGCCCCGAAGGGGCTCACAGCCTAGTGGGTCAAACCACGAATCACGTCAACAGTGGTGAAGGTGCACTCAGCTCCACGATTCTACAAAGAGCTCGTATCTACGTTTTCTCGATTGCGAACATCCAGCAACACAGCCACGTTGTGTAAAAGCACATCGGCATAATGTAAACAGTCACATGAGTGAAAGGATGAAGAGGAATCAACTGCAATAATTCACATCCCGGCTTCAGAACCTGATTTCCAGCATCATTCCTTCCTTCCTGCTCCCACAGCCCTGTTGCCCTGGGGATGTCTGGACCAATCCTGCAGGCGGCTGACCGCCGGGGACTCCTCCTTCCACGCGGATGACCTGGAGATCCAGCGTCCCGTGAAGGCCGGAAGGGGGACCTGGAGAGGGGCTCTCCAGCGGGGGGAGGCCTCCTTCGGCCGCCGGCCCCGCCCCGGGGCCCTTGCCGCCCGCGGCCCTCAGCTGGGTGTGGGAGAAGAGCTGCAGGACGAAGCCGGGAGGGAAGCTGCCGTCGGTGAAGTGTCGGACCTCGGGGGGCGCTGTGAAAGCCTCTGTGGGTGAGTCAGGCGACAAGGGGTCTGAGTCCGGGTCTGGGTCTGGGTTTTTGGTCACGGATCTGCTTCTCTTCTTTCTGGCTGGCTCTTCCTCAGGGGGCTCCTTCCACCTCTGACTCCGAGACTTCTTACTTACTGGCTCTGTGGCAGGGGCGACTGGAAGCTCAAGCGGGCGGAGTCACCGGGGCCGGGTCCTTCTCGGGAGGACGGTGCTGTCCTCCGAGTCGAGGAGAACGACAATCTCTGCTGGCACTCGGGCAGGGTCCGGGGCAGGATCCGGGTCTGCACTGACATCCTGGGCCGAGTCTGAGTCGGGTGGGGATGGCTGCTCAGCGCTGACGTCTTGCAAAAGGGCCACGCCCTCGCTCCAGGCCTCCAGGATGTTGCTCTTCTCCGAAGGGCTCAGGTCCAGGGTGTGAGGGTGCTGCTCCAGGATGTGCGCGGGCGCCGTGTCCGCCGAGGGGAACGGGATCTCAGCCCCGCACACCATGCACAGCGCCCGCCCGCTGCCTTCCGGGCTGCTCCCCACCAGGAACTCCTGCTCCCACGTCATCTGCAGCCTGGGCTCCTCACAGCCACCGCCGCCCGCATCCAGCAGGCAGGGCCTGGGCGGCGGGGTCTTCTCCTGCTGAGCCACTCGCAGCATCGGCTCGGGCCGCGGGATCACGGCCACCACCACGGCCTCGTCCTCGTCCTCGTCCTCCGCCTCCTCACATTTGAGCGTCACCTCGAAGCAGTCCAGCGCGGCACCCTCGGCCTTGAGCGCCATGGCGCGGCCGGGCTCCGCAGGACCGGCCCGCCGCCCCTCCTGGTCGCCGCTGGGCCCGCGCTGGCCGCCGGGCCTCCCCGCGACCAGGAGCGAAGGGACCCCGGCGGGGAGGGCTCAATCCCTGCATAATATTTTTTTTAAATTTCAGTCAGTGTATGTTTAATTTCTAGTTGGTTTAATTTCTTTTTCATATCCTCAAGGAATATGAAAGTTATCAGCTTTTTCTAGGAAATTCTTGAAAAACCTGATAACCGTGGTTTTGAACTATATTCAGTCTTTTGTTTTCCTCCATTTATTTTGTTTGAGATGTTTCATTTTCTCTGCATTTTCGCTGCTTCCCTGAGTTGGTAGGGTTGCTGGAAACCAAATCAGTTTCACTGAAAAAGAGATGTTGACAGGAAGCCAGGAAGGCTGGTCAACAACCTTAATTGCTCTAACTTTTAGTTGAGATATTGTTAGCTGAAGCAGAATCTACCTTGTCCGTGAAAGTTTGTTATTTCCTGCCTAAGGGCTATATGTAAATTTCTATTTATGTTGCTTAAGATGTTTTCCCCAAAGCCTCAATAAAAGGGGATGGCAGGGCCAGAGCAGGAGTAGTTCTCCCACTAGAGTTGGACTACCGCCTGGCCCCCCAAATCGCCAAATTGAATTTCTTCAAGTCTTTTCATTTGTGTGCGGCCCTTCTCCAGAAGCTGAACCCTGAATTGGAACTCTTTCTACGCGGGCCGTGAAAGAGAGTCCTATATCTGGCGCCTTCAACGCGGGACTTCTGGAGGAGAAGGTATTTTTCGCCTAGAGCGAAGGAGGAAAAATACACCTAGAAAAGGTGTGGAAGATTCACCAGGAAATAGGTGAGGGAAATTCACCGCACTCAAAGCCCACGGCCAGCTGCAGAGTCGCGAACTGTAAGTAGGGTAGGAACGTCCTTTTTAACCAGGCTAATGGGGAAGAATTAGGTTATAAATTTAAAGTAAACTTTATTATAGATTTTTGGTTTGTAAACTTAAAGAATGTGGTTTCTTGTTCAAATTAAAATCTTAGTTTGTATTTGGAATTTAAAATCTGTAATTAGAAATGAGACTCCACCATTGGAACCGCCTCTGGTGCGGAGAAATTCAAAGGTGACAGGAGAGGGCAGAGCCATCTGCTCTCCGAAAATGAGATTACTGAATGCTTTGTTTAAAAATTATAAAAGAACCTGCAAACTAGGTGTTATCTTGGCCAAATTGGGTGATAGTTATTACTTCAGAAAGCAAAAGAGAAAGAAAAAATTTTTGAGATCTGTCTTTATCTTTTAAGCATGAAAAAATGTGTGGACAGATCTGTTGAAACTTCTCCCAAAGTAAGCTTGATGTGGGGGAAGGAAAGAGACACAAGGCAATCCTATAAGGAAGACCACTCTCCCAGTAAGCTAAGGAATGTGGTAACTTGCATTTGAATGGCTACAAACTTCCTCCAAATTCCTGTGGCAAAATTTTTGTGGAAGTTTGCTTAATTATAAAAATAAAGTTTAAATTTGCCTCATAAAAAATCTAGAGGACAGAATGGAAGTCTTAATTGATTATGTTTTGTATTTTTCTTAGAAATGTAAAGTGTCATTAATCTAGGACATGCAATATATATTTGATTTGCCAGCTTTAAAAGTTCAAAGTGCAAATTAAATTGGGAGAAATTATATAGTTGTAATTAAAATACCTGTTTTTGAGAAAATAAAAAGTGTTTTCTCTAATAATTAGGAATTAAAAATAAGTTGCTTATTATTGGTCTAATTAAAAAAGAGGATTAATTCTGTGATCTCAACCAAATATTTTCTATGCAAAAACTAGTCTAAATTTAACTGATATCTTAAGATAATAATAAAAGGTATTATAATATTTAAATCACATATGGATATAGATATTTGTTTGATGGGTTTTTCCATGTTAAAATTTCAAGGCCTTAACAGAGATGATTCTTGGAAAGCTCCAAGGGCCCGGAGAAATACAAGAAATTTATTCTCTTCTTAAATGATTTAAAACAGATTTAATAAACTTGAAATTGCATGGAAAGCCTTATCAAATAAAAATTAATAAATATAAATATTTTAGAAGGTTTATAGGCATGTATTGATTGTTACTGGCAAAGGAAAGCAGTTAACTTTCCTGTTGCATGGTGAAGATGATGGTACAGACGCCTGACACCTGAGAATGTCTTTCTTGCCATGTTAGCAGTAATCATCTGTACGGTAATATTACCTGGGACAAATGTGGAAGTGTTTATGTAAGGCCTGGAAGACCCCCGGTCCAAAGGACGAGCGGCGACCCCAAATCAAACGCAGAGCCCGAGTCTTGATGCAAAGAGCAGGAGGTTTATTCCAAGCGCCGCGCAAGGACCCACAAGCAGCAGTCCAGAAAAAGACTGCCGCTTGAGAGCCCTGAACAGAGGTTAGTTACAAGCTTTTATAGGCAGAAACCACACGCAGGTGGCCTGGGGAAATTGGCCTGGGGAAATTGGCAAATTGGCCTGGGGAAATGCAAACATAAGGTTGAGATTGCAATCTCTTGGCCGTTTCCCGGGCAGTTAGAAACAGGCCTGACCTTACATTCCCTCCTCTTCTCAGGACTGAGTTTCAACCCTGGAACTCATATTCTGTTTCCCCTTGCCCAGTTACGATACAGGGCCCGAGGGTTAGAAGTAATCAAAGGCCCCATGAGGTGGAGATTAGGGTGGTGAGCCACGGGGAACGATTAAACCAATTTTCAAACCACCCCTGTTGAGCTTCTCTATCTCTTTGCCTCCTGTCTAGTCTCTCTCTCAGTTTGGCCATAGAGTCCTTCACCATGCCTGAATGACCTATATAAAAACAACACTCCTCTCTCAAAGCTGCACACAGGCCACCGTTCTTCAAGAACAGAAGGTCTAGCCCCCCCCCTATTCTGTAATACTACCGCAGACAGCGAGGTCAGGGATTCTTCCAGCTTACTGTGGGGTTTGGATTAAAGCTGCTGTCCCAGTCCCCACCCCGGCGGTTACCCCTAGCCCCAGCAAGACAGCTAGGGTTAGTGAAACCGGCTCTCTTCTGTTAGATAAACCTCAGCCCCTCCACACCGCCAGGCCTCACTCCTTGTACTCAGGAGGAGCAGGGTGCCGGCGGATGCGAAGCTTGAGGGGATTTGAAGCAGTCTCCACAGTCCATCCATCGTCAGGCGGTGGTGCAGGTTTGGCATGAGAGGCATGGATCCAGGAGGCGATGCCGTCTACCTTGATGGCGGTGGGTGTAGTCAGAAGTATGAGGTGAGGTCCCTTCCACCGGGGTTCCAAGTTGGCTGTCCGGTGACGACGAACGTAGACAAAGTCCCCAACCTGGAACTGGTGTGGTACTTTGAGCTCTCCCGGGGTGTAAGCGGCAGCCAAAGGGACCCACACGTCCTTTTGGACCGTCTCCAATGCCTTCAACCTAGCGAGCAGGGATTGAGGGGCGTGAGTTTCTGTGTGCATGGTCCACGGGTCAGCAGTGAGTGGTGGTGGGGCCCCGAAAAGGATCTCAAAAGGGGTTACTCCCAGGGGCCCGGGCGTATTCCGGGCACGGAATAGGGCAAAGGGAAGGAGGACTGTCCAGTCTGTTACGCCAGTTTCTAAGGATAATTTAGTCATAGCCTCTTTTAACGTTCTATTCATCCTTTCTACCTGTCCTGAACTTTGGGGTCTATATGAACAATGCAATTTCCAATTAATCCCCAGCACCTTGGCAATTTCCTGACTTACCTGGGCGATGAATGCCGGCCCATTATCTGAACCAATTACCTCTGGAACTCCAAACCGGGGAAAGATGTCTTCAATAATCTTCTTGGCTACTGTGGTTGCCGTTTCGCTCTTCGTTGAAAAAGCTTCAACCCATCCTGAAAAGGTATCTATAAAGACTAGAAGGTATCTATAACCATACCGGGCCGGCTTGACTTCCGTAAAGTCAACCTCCCAATAGCTGCCCGGCCTATTTCCCCTTTCCCTTTTCCCCTGAGAGACTTGCGAGGGGTGGGAATTTACTAGCTGACATGCCTTGCAGCTAGCGACAGTTCTCTCGGCCAGGGAGGTGAGCTTTCGGATGGAGTAATCCAGGGCCCGGCAGGTAGCACTGAGATGTTTTGGACCCAGATGGGTGAGGCGGTGTAGTTGCTCGAGGTAAGTTTTTGCCATTTCTTCAGGGACGATTATCTTCCCACCTGCCTTATCCTTCCAGACCCCGTACTTATCCTTGACGTATTTGCCAGGCTTTCTGGCCATCTCCCCCTCCTCTTCTGGGGAGTAAGAGAAGGACCTAGGAGGGTCCAAAGGGACTTTTGCTAGCGGCAGGATGTTTAGTCCCAATGCAGCCTGTTTTGCTTCAACATCTGCCTTCCTGTTCCCCTCCGCCACCTCAGACGTCCCCTTTTGGTGCCCTGGGCAGTGTATGATGGCAACTTCTTTGGGGGCATGTATGGCCTCTAAGAGGGAGAGAATTTCGGGTTTGTTTTTAATCTCCCTTCCGGCTGAGGTGAGGAGTCCTCTTTGTCTGTAAATGGCCCCATGCACATGAGCAGTCGCAAAGGCATACCTGCTGTCAGTGTAGATGTTGACTCTTTTTCCTTCAGCCAACCTGAGGGCTTGTGTTAAGGCTATGAGTTCTGCCCTCTGTGCTGAGGTGCCTTCTGGCAGACTGCTAGACCAGATTACCTCATCCGTGCTGACTACTGCGGCTCCTGCCCTCCTCTTCCCGTCTGAGAGGTAGCTGCTGCCATCTGTGAACCAAGTGAGGGGGGACCCGGGTAGGGGTGTGTCTCTGAGATCCCGCCTGGCCCCCGTTTCTTCAGCCAATATCTTCTGACAGGAATGCAGAATCTCTCTCTTTTCCAAGTCTGCTTCTGGTAGCAGAGAGGCAGGATTCAATGTCACGGGGGCCCCGAATTGGACTCTCCCCTCGTCCAACAAGAGACTTTGGTAGTGGGTCATTCTGGCATTGGACATCCACCTGTCCGGAGGCTGCCGTATGATACTCTCCAGTGTATGGGGCGCTATAACGGTCAATTTTTGCCCCAGAGTCAGTTTGTCAGCGTCTTTGACCAATAAGGCTGTGGCCGCTATAGCACGGAGGCATGCTGGCCATCCTCGTGCCACCGCGTCCAGTCTCTTGGACAGGTAGGCCACCGGCCTTTTCCATGGCCCCAATGTTTGCGTCAGGACTCCCCGGGCAATCCCCTTTCTCTCATCTATGTAGAGGGTAAAGGGCTTGGTGACATCAGGCAGAGCTAGCGCTGGGGCTGAAAGCAGGGTTTTCTTGATGTCGTCAAAAGCCTCCTGGTGTTTCGGGCCCCACTCGAACGGGTTTCCCTGCTTGGTGAGGGGGTAGAGAGGCTCAGCGAGTGTTGCAAACCCCGGAATCCAGAGTCTGCAGAACCCTGCCGTACCCAAGAACTCACGGACTTGACGGGGGGTCTGGGGCCTCGGGATCTGGGTGACGGTTCTCTTTCTGGCCTCCGTCAGCCACCTCTGTCCCTTTTCAATAGTGTATCCCAAGTACGTCACCTTTCGCCGACAGAGTTGGGCTTTTCTGGCGGATACCCGGTATCCCAGATGGGCGAGCTCTCGGAGGAGGGCCTCAGTACCGGCTCGGCATTCTTCCTCCGTGGCCCCCCCCACCAGGAGATCATCTACGTACTGGAGGAGAGTGATCTCGGGGTGCTCAGCTCGGAAGGGTGCCAGGTCCTGATGAAGGGCTTCATCGAAGATGGTGGGTGAATTCTTGAATCCCTGTGGAAGTCTAGTCCAGGTCAGTTGCCCCGTAACCCCAGAGTCAGGGTCTCTCCACTCGAACGCAAACATGCCCTGGCTGTTTGAGTGCAACTGGAGACAGAAAAAAGCGTCTTTTAAGTCCAGCACCGAATACCAAATGTGGGAAGGCGGCAAGGTACTCAAAAGGTTATAAGGGTTGGGCACCATGGGATGGATGTCTTGCACCCTCTTGTTAACCTCTCTTAAGTCCTGAACAGGTCGGTAGTCTGAGGTGCCAGGCTTTCTCACTGGGAGGAGCGGAGTGTTCCAAGGTGAATGGCACCGTACTAAGATTCCCGTATCTAAGAGGCGCTGTATGTGGGGCTTTATCCCTTCCCAAGCTGCTTTGGGCATGGGATACTGTCGTACGGCCACGGGGGTGGCCGATGCCTTCAATTCGACCACCACAGGAGGTTGTCGGGTGGCCTTCCCCATACCAGCGGTTTCTGCCCATGCTCCCGGGACCCGGTCTACCCATCTGGCTATTTCCTCAGAGAGTTCCCCTGACGTCCTGGATTCAAACAGCCTGTGTTCGTCTTCCAAGTGGAGGGTTAGAAGTGTGACTGCCTCCGCTTCGGTCTGCCCCACAATTGGTCCCTTTGGGGTGAAAGTGATCTGAGCTCCCATCTTAGTTAACAGATCTCTCCCCAACAGCGGGGCTGGACATTCTGGTATCACAAGGAAAGAGTGGGTGACCGCCCCAGTCCCAAGATCTACAGTCCGGTTAGTCGTCCACGGGTATTGCTCATTACCAGTGGCCCCAATGACCCAAGAAGTTTTCTTAGATATCGGCCCCAAGGGAGCTTTTAAGACAGAATATTGTGCTCCTGTGTCCACCAGAAATTCTACTGGTTTCCCCTCCACTTGGATGGTTACCCTGGGCTCAGGGAGGGGTTCCGAGCCCCGTCCCCCTCAGTCACTGTCCTCATGAAAGGCCAAAATGGTCTTGGCTTCCTTCTCCTTCCTCTGCCTTCTTGGGCATTCTCTCTTCCAGTGTCCTTTTTCTTTACAGTAGGCACATTGATCTCGGTCGAGTGGGAGGCGATCGCCCAGGTTCATCTGTCTACCCTTACCTCTCCCTTCTGGCTTTTTATCACCTACCACTGCTGCCAAGATGCGCGTGAGATTCTTCTCCTGTCTCTTTTCTCGTTTAGTCTCCTTCTCCTCCCTTTCCCTTTCCTTTCTCTGTTCCCTCTCTTCTTCCGTTTCCCTTTTGTGATACACCTTCTCTGCCTCCTTAACTAAGTCCTGCAAAGTGTAATCCTGCAATCCCTCAATTCGCTGCAGTTTTCTTTTGATGTCTAAAGCAGATTGGCCAATAAAGGCCATAGCCACCGAAGCCCGCTGCCCCTCAGTCGTAGGGTCAAATGGTGTATACCGCCTGAATGCTTCCATTAGTCGCTCAAGGAAGACTGAGGGGAGCTCCGTGGGTCCCTGAAGGACTTCCCTTACCTTAGCCAAATTGGTGGGCCGACGCGCGGCTCCTCTGAGGCCGGCCACTAGAATCTGGCGATAGACTGTCAGTCGCTCCCTACCTTCTGCCGTGTTGTAGTCCCAATCAGGTCGGGTGAAGGGGAAAGCGGCGTCCATCAGGTGGGGGAGCTGGGTAGGTCGCCCGTCAGGGCCGGGAGCATGTTTCCGAGCTTCTAGCAGAATTCTTTCTCTCTCTTCCGTGGTGAAAAGGGTCTGGAGCAACTGCTGGCAATCATCCCAAGTGGGCTGATGGGAGAACATAAGAGACTCCACCAACCCGGTTAATTTCTGGGGATCCTCTGAAAAAGGAGGGTGGTTAGTTTTCCAGTTATACAGATCAGCAGAGGAGAAAGGCCAGTACTGGAGGGGCTGGAGGGGCGCCGGCCCTCCGTCGCCCGGCAACGGGGGAGGCGGTCCGTACGCCCGAAGGGGACAGGCTACAGTAGAGTCGGGGGAAGTGGGCTGCCCCCTTCGGCTCCTAGTTCCCTGGGAGGGGCCAGCCGCCGTGGCGGAGGGCAAAGCAGGGGCGGACGGAGCCGTGGCCGCAGGTAGAAGCTCCGGAGCGAGAGAGGGAAAATAGGGTGGGGGCGGAGAGTCAAGGAGGAGAAGATCCGTCTGCGGGTCGACCAACGGCTTCTTTGGCTGTTCCTGTGAGGGTTGAAGGGCCAGAATCCGTGGGCTTCGCGGGGGCAACCAAGGACGGACCCATGACGGGGGGTTCTGAACTAAATCCTGCCAGACAATAATGTAAGGTTGCTGGTCCGGATGAGATCCTGTTCCTGGGCGAAAAACAATATCCTTGATGGCAAAAATCATGGTTAGGTCAAAAGTTCCCTCTGCTGGCCACCCAACATTGAAGGTGGGCCATTCAGAGGAACAGAACGTTTGCCACGGCCCTTTCTTCACGTTCACAGAGAGATCGAACCCCCGGTCCTCAACATCGTTCCAGTTGGAGAGGGTAAGAGAGAGAGGCGTACTTTCCCCTTGCCCCATTTCAAACCAAAAAAGGACAACAAATTCACAAATAAAACAGACGACTTACACACAAAAAAACACTGGGCCCACAAGACCAAGACAGACTTGATTGCGGCCGCACTTTCTCAACACTCACAAAACACTCACTCACTCAGACCAGAACCAGGGAGTCTCCAGACTCCAAACCCAGACAGAACCAGGGAATATCCGATCTTCGTCGGGACTCGAACCCGACACCTGATTGTCGGGACTCGAACCCAACACCTGATTGCCGGGACTCGAACCCAACACCTGATTGTCGGGACTCGAACCCAACACCTGATTGTCGGGACTCGAACCCAACACCTGATTGTCGGGACTCGAACCCAACACCTGATTGTCGGGACTCGAACCCAACACCTGATTGGAGACCGCCAGGCGTCTACCAGCCACTGTCCGGCCACTCCCACGAGTCGCCGACCGGCTGCCAAACCGAAAGTGCGCGCCCAGAACCTGAAACCAGAAACCTGAATGAGGCAGCCGAACCTGCGGCCCTCACCTGCTGTTCGGCCGGACAAAGAACAGCCCGTTGCCGAACTCCCGACGGCGACCAGCACTCTCTGATCACCTCCTTACTGGGGCGTCCCCCAGTCTGACAGTTTTATCTAACTCAAGACCGACTGAGCTAGAGAAGCCCCCCTCTCACGAGGGCGGACAACCTGCCGTTACCAGAGACAAAAGCCAAAACAGAAACCGAAACAAAGTCTCACACCGCACACAATCCAACCCTCCCGTTCCCCGTTCCCCGTCGGGGGCCCCCTTACCTCCAAGATCGGTTCTGCGCTTGAGGGGGGGCCGCCCGATCCCGGACGAGCCCCCAGAATGTAAGGCCTGGAAGACCCCCGGTCCAAAGGACGAGCGGCGACCCCAAATCAAACGCAGAGCCCGAGTCTTGATGCAAAGAGCAGGAGGTTTATTCCAAGCGCCGCGCAAGGACCCACAAGCAGCAGTCCAGAAAAAGACTGCCGCTTGAGAGCCCTGAACAGAGGTTAGTTACAAGCTTTTATAGGCAGAAACCACACGCAGGTGGCCTGGGGAAATTGGCAAATTGGCCTGGGGAAATGCAAACATAAGGTTGAGATTGCAATCTCTTGGCCGTTTCCCGGGCAGTTAGAAACAGGCCTGACCTTACATTTAGGACTTAAGTTCCTCTCCCTTCATGGGTAAAAGCCCTTATGTGGGCTGATCCCTTGCCAATGTAGTCACCAATAATACTAAGCACCTTGGTCATCCAGGAAGAAAATGGGTGGGGCAAGGAAGTATAATTACACAGATGTTGCCACCCAGCTTCCCTTTTTGTATGACACAAAATCAAACCAATGCTCCTTTGTGTATAAAATTAAAGAGAGGTTTCTGGCTTGCACCAAAGTAGAGGAATATCACTACTTACTCCTGGGAAAGGTGCAGAGAATGTAACTAAGACCTTGTCTATACAAAAAGAAATTGACAGCCAGTTTGAATTTGAATTGCCATTGGCTTAGAACAAAGAATATCCTTGCACGGTATTATTCTACAATGTCATTTATAATTTTTGATATTTTACAACAGCATATTGTACAGTTATTCCAAACAAAATTAAAAATCTAATTTTCAAATGTTTGGCAGCAATTCAAAAGGACATGAAAGGATTTAATCCCTTCCACTGTGTGGAGGGCCTCACTGGGAAGGCACTTGAGCATTCTATATTGGCCTTTCTTGCCTTATTTGCGAAGAGGGACCCGCTTGTCACATCCAATTGCCCACAGCTGTTGATTGAGTTTTCGGTTCATGCTGAGGTTAAAGCCTCGTGGTGGCTGGTACCATGGATCCATCTCTCACAATGGCGTGAGCTGGGATCTCCCTGGAGAAGAAACCTGGGTTCCCCAAGATATGTGATCAATGCTGGGGCCCCGCCAGCAGGCGAGGGGATCCCAAGGCAGGTACTGGGCATGGAGGCCATAGGGGCATAGGCTACAAGGAGACAGAACTGAACCTCACATCACCCTGCTTGGCTCTGGAGGATGGCTGGTTAGCCAATGACGGGTAAGATTCCTCACGGGAGGGACAACCTAAGACAGGCACAGCCGCAGAGGGCCATCAGGAGAGGACCTGGGGGCCAACAGAGGCGGGGCACAGATCCTCACCCCCCCAGCGCTGTAGGGGCTTGAACACTCGCCCTTTTGAGGGATGTCTCCTGCTCCATGGCTGCTTCACGCTTCCCATACCCAGCTCAGATTGGAACCCAGGCAACAAACACATTTGGTCCAGCTCAGATTGAGACCCAGCTACAAACAAGAGACTTGGCACCACTCTTATTGAGACCCAAGCAACAGAGAAATGGCTGATGGCGACTGTCCTACATCTAAATCCAGCCTAAATCTACGAGTGCTCAGGGCTTTCTCAAGGATGCATATAATCTTTTCCATTAATATTTACAGAGTAAACTAAAGTTGTTAAAAGTACTAATTTGACAGTAAAATAGTCAAGTTTTCAGATTAATTTAAATTGGCTAAATGAAATGAGTTAATATTCAAGAAAATTTAATTGTACAACAGGCTGTTCCTAAAGTATTAACCAAAATTTCTATTGGTAGTCCATTTCATGGTAAAATTGTTTAACATACAATAAACCCTAAAGCAGTCATAGTTTTTGTACAAAAAAATAAAAATTTAAAAGTTATCAAAACTGCATTATAAAAAATTTTTTCAAAAGCCTCCTAATAATTAAATAGAAAAAAGGGGGATAGTGGAAAATACCATGTAGGAAAAAAAATGTCCTGTAAGTAAATTACATCTAGAAAAATTTTTCTTCTTTTGAAAACCAATTTTCATTTGTAATGATAACAGTAAGACAGCCATGAAAAACACACATAGTACCAAAATAAATCAAAGAAAAATTGTTTGGGCACAAAATTAAAAGTATCCCAAGTAAAATTTATAGAAAAGATTCCTTTATTAATTTTGGTCGAGATACGTTTGTATATTTTCAGAAAACAACCCCAAGACCATGTGGATTCCTGCAACAGAGAAGAATTGACAGGAATACTCCAGCCATAAAGACAAGAGGAAAAACAGACCAGAGATGGAAGATGCTGACGACGCCTTGCCATACTAGCAGTCAGCAGATGTGCGTCGCTGCAGGTTGTCCAGGACCAAACCAGAGGTCGGACCTGCATTGCCACCATTTTTCCACCATCCGGATACCATTGCTGACATGGACTCAGAACTGTTGGACATTAAAATTTGGACTCAAAAAACTGTTGGACATTGAATCTGGGATTCAAAAACTGTTGGCCCACAAAGAAACGTACTGCAGACTGATTTCATTTGACTCTCAGCATTGCTTGTTTCATTTTTTGTTTATTTCTAGTCTACAAATGCAAAAATTTTTAAGGAAAGAAAACGGGGGAGATGCTGGAAACCAAATCAGTTTCACTGAAAAAGAGATGTTGACAGGAAGCCAGGAAGGCTGGTCAACAACCTTAATTGCTCTAACTTTTAGTTGAGATATTGTTAGCTGAAGCAGAATCTACCTTGTCCGTGAAAGTTTGTTATTTCCTGCCTAAGGGCTACATGTAAATTTCTGTTTATGTTGCTTAAGATGTTTTCCCCAAAGCCTCAATAAAAGGGGATGGCAGGGCCAGAGCAGGAGTAGTTCTCCCACTACAGTTGGACTACCGCCTGGCCCCCCAAATCGCCAAATTGAATTTCTTCAAGTCTCTTCATTTGTGTGCGGCCCTTCTCCAGAAGCTGAACCCTGAATTGGAACTCTTTCTACGCGGGCCGTGAAAGAGAAGCCTATATAGGGTAGCTTTGTGGGCCTGGGTGTCCTATATGGTTCAATGGGTCAGCCTCCCAGTTGCCTGATGTGGACACTTGGTGCACCCCTTTGTGGATTAAGTCTTAATTGTGTTGGTGTCACTGGGAGGAATTGACCTCTAGGCCAATTGGCTGTGAGGACCCGCTGTGTCTATAATGGAAGAATTGCCGTGCTGGAGACACATTTATGGGGGAGAATGTGTCTGTCTCTTAAATGTGTCTCTTATGAGAGTAGTTGAAATCTGGTGTCATCTCACACTGACCACTAGAGACACTAGTTTCTGGATCTCCAATGGGGTGCAGTTCAGCTACCCAGCAGGAGCTACTGCAAGAACTACAGTTTTGTCCTCTTTGCTTGGTTAAGTTTATTCCTCAGTATCTTAATTATTTTTTTGTAATGACAAAAATGCTATGGATATCTAGGTGTTAATTTTGGATCCTGCCCCATTGACAAATTCATTTATTAAATCTAATAGCTTTTTTTGTGGAGTCTTTAGGGTTTTCTATGTACAACATCATGTCATCTGCAAATAATGAGAGTTTTCTTACTCCTTCCCAATTTGGATCCCTTTTATTTCTTCATGTCTGATCTCTATCATCAGGACTTCCAGAACTAAGTTGAATGAGTGGTGAAAGAGGGCATCCCTATTTTGTTCCTGTTCTTAGGGGATATGGTTTTAGTTTTTGCCCTTTGTGTATTAATATGATGTTGGTTGTAGTTTTGTCATTTATGGCCTTTATTATTTTGAGGTATATTCTCTGTATTCCTACTTTGGGGAGAGTTTTTTTTATCATAAAAGGGTGTTGGATTTATTGAATGCTTTTCCTGCATTGATTGATATGCTCATGTGAGTTTTGTCTTTCAATCTGTTTATATGTTGTATCATATTTTTTTATTTTCAAATATTGCATTAGGCCTTGCATCTCCAGAATAAATCCTACTTGGTCATGATGTATGATCTTTTTAATGTGTTGCTGGATGTGATTTGCCAAAATTTGGTTGAGGATTTTAGTGTCTATGTTCGTTAGGGATCTTGGCTAGTAGTTCTTTCTTTGTTGTGTCTTTATCTGGTTTTAAATTAGGGTGGTGGTGGCCTCATAGAAAGAGTTTGGAAGTGTTACTTCCTCTTGAAAATTTTGGAATAGTTTGAGTAGTGGTGTTAGTTTTTCTTTGAATATTTG